GAGCAGCGTCCTCCCCGCTGGAGACAAAGCGCGGCCCCGGCGCCGAACCGCTGCGCTTCCCTTCCTGCGGCGGGAGCAAGTGCCCTTCTCGCAGCGGGCTGGGCTGTCGCGGAGGAAAGTTTAAATGTCTCCTGGAGCTTAGGCCTGAGGATGGGGGGTGTGCCACATGCCCCCACGTTTCAGAGGGATTCGAAAAAATCCCTCAGCAAATGACGCTGGATGCTTGTTTCCCCTCCCATGTTAAATGCCCGCTCGCCCAGAGCCTGGGAAAACCTCTTTGGTTAGCGTGATTCCTAGGTGGGCCTTTCGTGCAAGCGCGAGCCTTGAGCGTGAGCTGAGCGCGCAAGGTCTTTCACCTGCTGGTGGCCTTGGCCTCCATTCGTTCCCTTAACCGCCCGATGTACCCCTGCTTCCCTAAGGAAGGACACAGCAAAGCGTCCTTGAAACGTTTCTTCCACGTTATATGACATAAAGTGGTGATGTTAGTCTAGTTGTTATAGTTCATAAAGCAAAACTAGAGTTGTTTTAGCTCAGTGGTTTCTTTATATTGGTTTAGCATCGTTCAGGTAATATTTGTACTCAATTATAGAGGTTGATTTGGGGTTCTCCAGCATCTAGTCATCTTAAACTTAATCCTGTAACTAATGCTCCCAGCCTCAGCTTCCCGTGTCGGAATGAGCAGTGCGAAGGTGGGGGCGAGGGGCTTGCTGAAAATTCATCTGGCAGCAGTCTGGCAGGGATTTTTTTTTCCCCCCTGTTCTTGTGCCTTAAGACGCCTGGCCCAGCTCGGTGGCCGTGCTGCTGTTAGTGGCACCTGATGGTACGCGCCTGCTGCTGAAAGCCCTGGAAACGCACCGTCAAGCAAGCCTTGGCTTACACGTAGACCTGCGTTCTCTTGCATGCCACGGGGCAAGCAAAGTCCTGGGCTCTTTCTCCTTTAATTCTGTGGCTCTGGGAGATGATGAGCGTGGCCGCTCTCCAGAAGCGGTTTTGGAAGGGGCTGTTTAAACGTACGCGTTGAAGTAGTCGACGCTGCTCGTGTGGCGTTTCCAGCTAGCTACGACAGTATGGCACGCTGTTTGTCCACGCTCTTGTTCACGCTCTTTCTTGTCTAAGCTCTGGGACCATGTTGCCATCAATCTAGCGTCGACCAAGACTGCCCACGCAACTGTGTGGACAATAAAACAAGTAAGTTGACTCTGGTCCACAACTTGGTCCTACCTGACTTGCTTAGAGCTCCTTCTCCCGGCACGTCCCACGGCTACTGCAGCGCGGCCTGCAGATATGGTGGTGAAAAGGTGCTCGACGGGGATTACGCTTGCGTATGTGCTATGTCAAGTCACCGCTGGAGATCAGTGGTTTTTTTTATATTGGCACTGTCCGTTTGCTTGAGATTATCGGTTTAGCAAATGCGGCCTTAAATTTGTTTATATAAAAACAATCCTTTGATCCACTGGCCAGATGCAAACAGTATCTTGTGATTCTCATGAGGATCACGTAGTTGCAACATCTTGACGTGGTTTTGTTTATAAACAACTTAAAACATGAGGGAAGGAGACCTGAGCCTGAAGACTACTGGGTGCTTTCACATTTTTTTACTCCAGCTACCTAAAAGTCAGTTGCGCCGAAGGAGCTAAGCTTGAGAGCGACAAAACTAAAACTAATGCCCGGTGAGGTTGTTCCCAAGGCAATGCACATTGGGTTTGAGCTGACTTGCTGGAAGCTTGCCTTAGCAAGCTTGCCTTAGCTCTAGTATAAAACTTTGATAGGCCTGGTTGATATTTTGGGTGGATGTTTTGTTTTTTGGGGTGATTTTTTTTTTGCAGAGCCCTTGGTAGGGGAGGGCAGGGAAGTCCCGATTCTTCTTTTTGATGAAAGACAGCGGCTGGGATCACTTGCTGCCTGGGAAATCAGTCTCTAAACGAAACTTTTCCTGCAGCTGAAGGGTTTATTTTCTGAGTAGCTGAAGGACACTTGCCTGCCAGAAGGCCCACTCAGAGGCTGGGCACAGCACGATGCTCTTCTGGAGCACCCACGAGCCAGTAATTGCAAACGCTGCCGGCACAGGCTGGCAAAGTAATGCTTTTACAACCAGAAGCAAGTGCTAAAAGCTTGCACTCAGAGGCACGGGTGCCTTTGGAGGATTTAACCATATTTGTGATCGACCTGAGTCCGTCCACGCAGAATGGATACGGCGTGAAGAGCAGGGCGGTGTTGTCTGTGCAGGTGTAACGCTCAGATCTGAGTGAAGTTGACAGCCACGTGATCGTTTTGTCCAGTTTGGAAGAGAATTTGCTTTCAAGTTTTTCTCTGCAGTTTAAGCTCCTGAAGAAAGGGGACTCTGGGTGTGGGTGGTGGTAGGGGTGGTATTGTTTCTCCCTCCTCCTCCTCCTAATCAGAAGATATTTGGCATAGTTAGTGTGGCTGCGGTTCAGAGAAGACTTTTCTGACACCTCAGTTCTGGTGGCAGCATCAGCTGACTTCCATAAACTGGTGTTATGACACCCGTTTGAGTGCGGCTTAAGTAAACCAGTAGGTCTGGCACTTACGCTAAGCAAGCTTCCTTGCTGTTGACGGGGAGCATACTGCAGGACCGGCTGGACTTCTCCATGCATTTCCTCAGCGATCTCCTCGTGTGAATGGTTACCCCCAGGACACCCCGCGTACCTCTGGCAAGCCATGATGCAGCGTTAGACAAACCCTGAACGCGCTCTGCCTGGCAGCAGGTTGCCAGGTCTTGGCTAAGGCTCTGCTGCTGCTGTAGTGAATCCCAGATCTCCTGGAGACTGACGGCAGGAGGAGCTGGTGGGTTGAACTGCCAAGAAGCAGGTCCCGGCCTTCCTGAACTATTTTCGAAGGCGATGTAGGTGTATGTTTTCCTATAAGCTGTCTGGCAAGTTCATGTTGCGTTTTCATAAAACATCACGATAATCCACTGAAGCAACTGGAAAGACTTCCTTTTGCTTTACTGAGAGCAGGTTTAAGTGCTCAAGTACTGTGACTAAAGTACACTGGTACCATAGTTCTGTCTTAAAATGGCTCGAGTTCAGAGGCGGGACGGTAAGGACCTGACGCCCGGTGACTGGACTGCCTGATTTCCCCAAGTCTGCCTAGTGAAGGGAAAATGTGCACAGCTGAGAAGTGGAACCAGCAGTATTTTAGTCCCTAGAACTTTGCCTGAATGTCCTGTGCTTGTCCCCAAAATGGGTATGATGTCAAAAGTAGACATATGTCACTGGGTTAAAAAATTTGCTGTAATGAAAAGGCAGTAGCTTCTGAAGGGTACTCGCAGTGACTGGAGGCCCTGGTTATGTCTGCGTATGCTCCATCTGTAGCAACGCTGTGTTCAGAAGTCAGACACAAGCATCTTCTATAGTACATCTTATGCTGCGATTGCAAGCTTTTGGTTGAAGCAGCCTTTTTTTTTTTTTTTTTTTTTGCTTTAAGTACTTTTTTTCAGCTTAGCATAGACTTTTTTTTCCCCCCCCTCTCCAAACCATGAGTATAAACCTAAGGTGCCGTAGAATATCACCTAAAGGAAATCCAGGGTCGCAGTGCTGGCCTGTAAGATGGCATGTTTGGAATGATGGTATGAATTGTTAAAGAAGCTTCTGGTTGTTCTGCCTTGGGTCTCTCCTGAGGGACTAGAGTCTCCTCGCGATTGAAACGCTCTCACTCTGGGGTTCTGAGTTGCACTGGCTCAGGGAGATGTGGGTAGCTTAATTCTTTCCAAAACAGTTGGAGGAGGAAGGTCTGAGTTCATGTATCATGTCGACGGAAGAAATGGTAAGAATTAACCCATCCATATCTGTGTTTGGTAACGTTATTCATCCTTACAATGGTTTTAAACTGTTGATTAGGATTAATTTCATCCAAATACTAACGTTGTCTGTGATTTGTTGCAGATACTTCAGCTTCCGGGCCAACCGTCGTAGAAAATGGTGACCATGGAATAGAAAATGACCGTACAGGTAAGTGTTTAATATCTGAATGAAACATGGTAAAACTCGATGTTTGTCCACGGAGCAGTAAACCTGCCATGTGAGCGTTACTGTGATCAGACGCGTTCTTCTGACTTAGTGTATTCCTCTGTGGAGAGTGTTTTTTTTTTTAATTATCTCTTTGAAGAATTTGAATAAAAAATTGCATTCTCCTCTCTGTTTGAAATTTTTTATATGCCTAAGCCCCTTCTGAAGACGTTGTATACTCTATCTGTGGTTGATTTTTGGGAAGGTAACATCTAGGGCACTGATACCTAAGGGAGTTTCCAATGAGTTTATAGTATTCTTAGCTGAGCTCTGCCCTAGCACTTGAGTATGACTTCCCCTGTTCCCAGGGAGGCTGACGGTGATGTTTGCTCTTTAAGCCCACCACCTTTTGATGCAGTGCCTTTTTTTTTTTTTTTTTTTTGGTTCACTGCTACTTAGATGTTAGTGAAGTTACACTGGCTGCTCTGGTTATTCTGCAGCTCCTCTTGTGTACTTTTCCATCTCCCTCTACCCCAAACTATCCTCTCTAGATCTCTCCTAATATTTGCTTTAGCAATGTACTGTCAAAGCTGGAAAAAGGTTCGCAAGACCTCAATTTCAACGGTATTAGGACAGCTTTGTCCGCAAGACACGTGTCGCGATTTAAGTGAACTTATATTTAAAACTTGTGGGGAATCTGCAAAACATTCATCTATCAGCCTAGCATACACAGAAGTTGGTTGTCTTTTGACAGCTATATTTAATGACACATGCTAATTGCCTTTTCTGAGAATTCCTTCCTGTGCGTTGGGTTTCCAACCAAATTCCAGCTGAAAAGTGAAGATGAGCAGCACAGACCTCTCTGAGACCACAGTTTCCTTTCGTGGTGAGAGGGGGTGGGCTTTGATTGGCAGGGCCCTTTGTAGCATCTTTATTTTGCTGAGGAGAAGATATTCAGAGCTGATTCTCACCCTGGCATTGCTAAGAGCTATTTGTTTGGTCTTTCTCATGACCCCCAATTCAGCTTTAGCAGTCTGGATCGTTGCTAAGATTAAGTTGGGATTTTCCCAGCACTGGCATCCCTACTAGTCCATAGGTGCAGCCCCAAGAAAACACAATCTAGGATAGTGGGGAGAAGCATGAAGGTGGGAGACAAGGACAAACAAAAGCAATTTTTACTGGAATTGTATTTAGAGGGTGAGCAGGTATTCATGTTCTTGTTGAGGATGCAAATTTAAAAAGTGATCTTAGTACTTTAACTTGCCATTGTAAATCCAGTCAATTACAAAAAGATAGGCAGGTTTTTTTTTTTTTTTAGTATAAAACTGAAATTAAGGATGCTTCTGAACCTCCCTGAAGATACATCCTCTCTTTTAAGTACATATAACTAAATAGGTAGAATAGATGGAAATAAAATCAGACTTATGCTCCAGGTATGACTAATTGAATGCATTGGGAGTTTTTATTGAACTTTTGGGTTGTGTTTAAAAAAAGAAAAAAGTTATCTACTTAGTACTAGCCTCCTGGAGGTTTAACTCTTCAGATGCTAAATGCTAGCAACTTTGATCAAAGATACTTTTATGTGTCTGAAGCTTCTTAATTTATTAATAGATGTTCCATCTTTGTGGGGTAGACTTGGATTTTTTCTCTTGTTAAAAGCTGTCTAAAAGTGACATCAAAGTAGCTGAAATAGCCTGTTACAAGATAGTCACAAGCATCAAGTTAATTAGGGTTTTGAGAATAACGGAAGATTTATACGACGTGACTATTTCATGGGCTCGTCTCCCCTCCCGCCTTCCCCCTGGAATACTTGCAGTATCGATGCTCGTACAATTGAGACTAAGGGGTGAATGCTTATTTGGGATCAGACGATGGCGATTTTCTTTCCGAGGCTTGGAGTGGGTTGAAGAGCAGTCAACAAGCTGTGGAAAGGCAGGGAAACTGTTCCAGGGCAGGTGACAGACTTCAGTAAGGCCCAGCTCCACGTTTCCTAGGCAGTGCTGCCTAAATCTTGTCTCTGGCCCTATGCCATCCTCTGTTCTTGGCTGGGTTGTTTCTTTTCACCTGGATTTCTTCCATAGTCTCCTTCGGCTCTCCTGTAGCCGAAACGATCCTTACAGAGGTGCAGCGTGGGGCAGCGCAGAAGCAGGAAAGCAGAGGCTGAGAGGACGAAGGAGGCAATGCTGGTGCAAGGTGGCCGTCCTGCCAGAAGGAGGTGCGTTAGGAGCTGCGGAGGGAGCTTTTAAAAGCAGTGCTGTTTTTGAGTTAGATTCAGAAACAGACTTTGGGAGAAGTATTTGGGAACGATGTAGTGCGGCTCTCTGTGAATACAAATGTCTGCTTGACCCTCTGGCCTAGGTCCCAGGAAACATTGCTGCACCCTCTTTGTCACCTGGCAAATGAGATGGTGACATGTTGATGTTCATTACTTGCACCAGGTATCTGCAGCTACTGTTGCATGTGTATGCCGAGGTTAGGATTAGTCAGGGCTGAGATCTTGGCGTGATTTGGCAACCTTTGCTACAGAGGAACTGGACGCCCCAGTGCAAAATATTGCTAATGTAGTAGATGAGTAAATCCAAAGCTAATGCAACTCAGTGGCAAAAACCTATGTTAACTTTTAGCAGAGAGGTATTTAAGCAATTTTTATAGGGATATGTGTAATTCAGTATTTCAGAATCTAAAGCGAAATTGTGAAAGGTTGACTTTACCTTGACTGCTACTTACTTGAGGACTCAAAGCTTAGGACTGTGAGGTCTTAACTCTTTGCGTTCTTTTGCTTCTATTGCCAGTGAGAGACGGACAATTTCTTTAAAGGCTTCGGTGCTTGGCAGGGCTGCCCCTTATGTGGCAATTGCTTTTTTTTTTTTTGTTTGTTCAGGGGGTTGGGGAGGAGGGATGTTTTTTGAGGATTTGGGAGCTACAGACCAGGAGCTCTGACTTTGGTACTCAGCACGCAGACTGAAAACATCTCTGTTTATCCTTATGGCGAAGGACAGAATTAACTTAAGAGGAACAGTTGGTGCAGCGTTTAGATGGAAGATGCGCTTGTCTCTTGAAACTCTTTCAACAGGATGAGTGAGGGTGTGGATGAGGGTGAAACTGTCGATGCTTGTAATCATCGATGGCACGTGGGTACTGAATGGGGAACTGTCTGCTAACTTCCCTGATGCAAAAGTTTGAGGATGCCTACTAAATATATGCATAATTTTCAAACCATGCAAAGTTTAAAACTCCTTATTGCAGGATATTTGCCTAGAGTACGAAGGAATTAAATAAGGCAAATTTTTGGAAGAAGTTTATCCACAGATGAATGTGGATACCTGTCATTCCAAAATCCTATTCATTACGTTGCTGGAAGGTGAGAAGTAACTTAGGAAAGTATTGCCACTCTGTTTATACTTTCCCTAGATGGAGTTTTTCTCCAAACCAGCCTGGCTGTCATTCTCTCATCTGAGATCAGGTCACAAAAACACTGTTTGTCACTATTTTCAATGCAAACTATGCTTTTAAGTAACATCCTGAGCTGCTGTTCTCCTAATAGCAATTTGTCCCTAATCTTGATTTATCACAGCTAATTTTTGCATGTGGCGCAGTTGCCATGCATAGCATGACTAGTGATTATTTCAGACTCCTGTCAAAACAAAATTTCCTGTGTCTCTAATCTGGCTTTTGGCAAATCTCCTGGCTGCACTAAATGAAATACTGCTTGTTGTGCAGTGTGCTACCTGAATGTTCATGTTTACTAATGACTTGCGCTTTCTTGCCCCTTTCCCTCTCCCTTATCCCTCTCCTACTTCTTTTCCTCTCTTCTATTTTCTCCTCCTAGAAGCCTAGACTGTCTCCTAACACTGGGGCTGCCACTGATACAAGACCAGTGTACTTTTCTACCTGCCATTACACTTCTAAAATCTTCAGCATTTTACAGACCTCTTGCTTTACGTCCTTGGAGTTACGCGTAGAAGAAACCAAAGGGTAGCTCGATGTCGGCCGATCAGCCCTCCTCCTCCTCCCTCTCTGCTCTGCAGTGCTTGTTGAAACCTTCCTTCCTTTGTGTAAGCACAAACGTGCATGACTGTTTTTAACTGCACTATCTCAGCACTCTCACTGTTCTTTTTTTTGATCACAACTACAGCTCCATTTTTACTTCAAGTGCTTTTAAAATTAATTTAAATCCTTTTCCATGGAGGTTTAATGCAAAAGGTTTGATGTGAAATTTAAAGCTGTGCTTTCATAGCGGATGGGTCCACCATGACTGCAGCTCCTCTCCCACCTCCCCTGACTGCCCACAGCCTTTTAGCAAAACCCCCAGTTTCACCTGCCTTTCTCCTTGCTGCTTTGAAACCTTCTTATTTAAGGTTTTATCTTTAATAATGGTGTCATCTTTGAAACGGATGTTTCCACTTCATAGCATTTACTATGCAGACTTTAATGTGGTTATTCCTAATCTGTCTTTTACTGAGGTATGAGCAGAGTTTTCGGTTTGAGGGATGGGTTGCAGGGTTCAAGTACTTGCCATCAGCCTGGCTACTGCCTGGGAACGTAGAGGAAAAACCAGCAACCCCCAACTCCCTGCCTCAGTGTGCTTGCTTGGGTATCGTACGGCTTACTGCCAACCGTGGAAGAGAGGAAAGTTTGCCTTTCTTCATACCTTTACCTTCAGCGTTTTGGGGTGAAGTTCTATTCGTCATCAAAAAGCATGAGGCTCCCTACCCCGCTCCATATCTGACTGAGAGGAAAACCAAAGGTCTGTGACCCAATGTATACTGAAATAATTATGACATAGTTCCAGCAACATGGGAAGAAACGTGCCTCTTCTAACCTTAAACTGAACTACGAGAGGTCGATAACTCCATTGCATCCCTGCCGTCCCCAGAAAGATGCAAAGCTGCACTCTTTCCAAATACAAAAGTATTAGTTACTACCATTGAACAGATAAAATTGCAGAAGAAGGAAATAATTTGAGAGAGACTACACTTTAAAATAATATTCTAGATGAAGCA